ATTTTCACTTAAAAAATTAGGAGAATGATGATGTCATATAAGGTTAAAACAAAGTTACTCTTTGCCAAAATTGAACAGAATTTTTCACCAATCAAAGGGCCACGCAGTTCTACACTAGAGCCAAAATAATGATACAAAATTAAATCAATGCAACAATTAAACTCCCTATGAAGTTAAAAATGGTAAAGTAAATTCACTTGCCATTTAAAGTAGTTCCCAAAAAGCAAAATATTAATTCTGAACAAAAAACTGCAGGAAAACCAGAATCCAAACTTCAAACTAATATGCATTATGCAGAAAAATTGTTGAGGGTAAAGAATGTTAAGAACCGCATTCTTTACATTCAACAATTTTGCTGCAAATTCACACAAATTCTTCAGAAACACAATTTTTCTTCTGAATCTTCATATCAGACTTACACTTCTCGCATGTCAAGTTCAGCTTCAAAAATCTTGTACCCCATAAAACTGCAGAAATGCACTTCTGTCAGCATGAAGACAAGCAACCATTAACAAATGCTTCATTAATAACTGCAACAACATATTTTCTCGAACTAAATCTAGCTTAAATACATTCTAAAACACATGGCTGATATCTCTCCACAACTTCCTTCATAGAACTATACGTCGTTATTCAATGTGTAACCAAACAACCACCATGATGAAATACAACTGCATTCCTCACAAAAGTTTCCATGTAAAAAGTGTTGCCATACAAACAAAATCTCAACTAACCATCTAACACAAAATATCGCCAGATTTGGCAATCGTGTATATTCTGGGCCATATGTGACATTTGAGCCTTTTTCTTATTAACCAAGTGAACTTTTCCATCAAATATATAAAAAGTATATTTAAGCAATTTTAATAAATTTTTCTGTCGTATGCATTATGTTTTTGCTATTTAAGTATTTTACATTGAAAATCAGTGTTTCATTTATAAGGCTTCCTCCTAATAATATGATATGTAGCATAGCAAGGAATTGAATATTTTTTAGGTGTTGCCTGAAAATGTATTCTTTGTTAACACTGCCAAGTTAGCCTGTATTTTAAAATGCCTCTTGGATTATGGTTGATGATTACATAATCAGCTGGTTGATGATTACATGGAAAGTGAGCACATTCCCTGTATGAATTGACCAGCCAGACCTCCTGACCTTAATCCTATAGAGCTTGTCTGGGATATTCTAGTATGGGCAATTTCATCTCGCCATCCTTCTCCGAGAACTATCCCGGAGTTGAAAACTGCCTTATGAAGAAGTGTAACCAACTATTACAGGAACTCCTCTGCTATTGCTATCGTGCTACGTGACCTATCTAGCTGTGAGAGGGAATCATACCCTATATTTAGACTCACTTTCACTTCGATATCACAACATGGATTTCAGACATTCCTGCCCTATGAGCTTTACTGATAATTATGCATTCATGAAATGACTTTTGAATAGTACATATTGTTCTCTTTTATAAATGTATTTGCATACCAAATTTCATCAAGATCTCTCCAATAAGTTTTTCAGAAATGTGACATAATGTGCAAATTCTCCTAATTTTGCACATGAGTGTATGAACTTAGTGATAATCTTGGTGCCAACTTGCTGTTAAAAAAACAGGGCCCATAATAATAAGGAAGTACTGAACTTTCATAACTAATATTTTGTTCTATGACATTTTTCTATCTCTGTGGCATCCACCGCTTGGGGGTGGCTGACATAGAGAATTCGAAGCAACTCTCTAGGATCTGTACCTAGGCAGTCTTGGCGACAGGGGTATTCAAATCATGAACCTAGTGGTTCTGGAGGCCTTGGAAAGATCACTCATTAGTCAACCCATGAGTAAGTCCTAGAGTTGAGGGCTCTGATATCAGGTAATGTCCTTTTGCGACGGGTAGCCTGAGCGACTGGCAGGTAGCAAATCATAATGATCATTGTCGCAAAAGCAATGCGCCTCTCTCTCCAAAGGTGCGAGGGCAGCGGTTGAACCCCTGGCCTGGTTTGGCAAGGTGAGAGAACACTTAGTGTCATTAAGTTCAATGGAAAGGGGAATGCCAATAGTTATGTTATGATATGTTATCTCTCTGGCAGCTGAAAAATTCTTTTTTTTTTTTTTTTTTAATATAAGAGAAGTTATTGAGATGCTATGCGAGAGTCTCAAAAGAAGGTAAACTCCAAGCTGTTTAGAGAATTTTGAAGTGATGAAAATTTGAGGGGGCAAAGTCTGATGCATGTTGGGGGTAACACAAATCATCCCAGCAATTCTCAGTAAATTGTTGTTTGACTTTCATCGACATGTGGGGTTGAGCATTGTCATGATGGAAGAGGACAGTTTAACGATACATCAGTTCTGGGTACTTTACTGTGCTTACTGCTTTTGAAGCTACTGTTTGGGAACATTATTTTTAGGAATTTTCTGATTTGGTGGCAACAAGTCACAGGTCATTTGTTGGTAGTCCCACTGTTTGTAAAGCATTACTTTTTGATATAACTAAAGGATGGTTCTTTTGGCTCCCCATGATCTTTTCTTGTAACATTATTGTATAATATCCACTTCTCATCTCCCAGTAATGAGCAGTTTCAAGAAAGGAGCTTCTATATTTCATTTAGCAAAGAATCATGCTAAAATTTTAGGAAGTATATTCTGCTCTGTTGAAGTATAGGGTTGTAGCAGCTTACATACTTAGTCTTCTTCAAATGATCATCTTTTTAGAATATATATTGTGTCTGCTATTTTGTGAACTGTGTATCATGTATTTTCAGAAATAGCTTTTTTTAATCTTTTCCTGATGGCTGGGACAGATATGTTTATTACGTTGAATAAGGCTCAAGCGATTTTAGTTCACCCTTGATGTGTAAAATGTTTTACTAAATATGCAGTAGTAAGTGGCAAACTCTGTCAAATTGTTTCTCTTTTCCTTTCTGCCTGAATATGTGAATAAGTGGAGCAAATAAGCAGAATGTTAACTTCTGTAGCCCAAAGGAAAAGGTTAAATAGGTCCTTGTTTACAGAGGATGGTCATCCAGAGCGAGCATCTTTGAAGCTGAAATTTCCACGCTTAAACTTCTCAAACCATCTTTGAATGATTTCCTCAGAACAAACTTTGAACCATCGTTTTTAAGCATTTAAGTGCACCTTCTACTTTCCAAACTATTGTATCAAGTCGCTGCTTCGCACCTGTTGCTGAGTATTTAGTTTCTAGATTTTCGATTTGTTAGTTAATAACATGTCATAAAAAATTCAATAGAGTTTATAAAAATGTAAAAAGTATTTTCCGTAGGAATTTCATCATGGTTTCTTTTTGTGTAAATTTATTATTCTCCAGTGTTGCAGTAGAAGGTGCACTTAAATACGTAGAAACGAGACTTCAATAATTTCATTTCTCCTGTATCAAAATTGCTGAGCTAATTTCCCTTACTCAACTTTGTCTGAAACAAATACATTTTGTTTTCTAAAATAAGAATTACAAGCAAACTGAGGGATTAACCATGGGAAATCCTATGCTTGCTGATATTTATATGCATTATTATGAATCAAAATTATTTAAAATTTTAAACGTCCCTTTGTGTTTCTGCTATGTTGACGATACTTTTACCCTGTTTGGTGGTGATAAAATGATTTAAATAAAGTTCTTTCAATAATGAATTCTATTGATCCTGCCATTCAGTTCACTTCTGAGCTAAAAACATCCACTTCTCTTCAGTTTCTTGACATCTTGACCACACACAACGTATCCAACTTCAGTATTACTGTTTTCCATAAACCTTTATCTCTTTGCCTTCTATTACACCTTAAATCGTCATTTGACTAAACATAAGTTAGCTTCATTTTATTCCTTCATTTTTTGTGGCCTCCGAATTAGGGTTCTTATAATATCCTTAAAACTGAATGTATTTTACAGAAATTTCAACTTTCAGGGTTTTTTTCTCTTCACCTAAAAACTTTGCAGTTCCATACTTAAGGACCCAATTCCGAATATGAACTCCTCGGATATGTATAGGAGTCCTTGCTAATGTGATTTAATTTGCATTGGTCAAACTACGAGAGTTTAAAAACTTTGCATTAAGGCCTATGAGACATATGTTGGGAAGAAGAAATGCATAAATCCTGTTGCTGTGCACTGTTCATATTTTCCTTTTTCTATAGCCAGTATTCTACATTCTTCCATAGGCAAATTAGATTTTTCAGATGTGTTCTACATTCATAAAAATCTTTCAGTTCTAGTTAACAATCCCAATTCCAAGGTATTTTTACTCTTAGCTTTTAAGCAAAGTATTCCATAGTTGATTTAATTTTTATTCAATAGAGGACACCGGTAGTTTCACTTCCTTCCTCTCATTTTTATCGCCTTACCACTAGCTTCTTTTCATCATTTGCACTTTTGCAGTTGAATAAGAAAGTTCTATATTTAAACCTTCAAATCTAGTCTTGCAAATTTATTAATATTATGCTGATTCTTGTAGCTTTAACTCCTCCAGTAAAATAGCATAATATGATAAAAATTAACTTTTGCATTCTCTATTTTTAATACTGTACTGGAATAAAAATTATTTTACAATGCTAGAATTATACAGCATGTATATTTGCAGCATACATTACACACATTATTCTAGCATGAGATAAATGCTGGAATTATTCAGTGTGAGCAGAAAAGGCAATATTTATGCATCTGTTTAGTTCAAGATGTAGTAACAAAAATATTTAAAGGAAATGCATTTCGATTTGAAAAGCTACAGAATTTTCTGCATAACTCAATAGCATTCATTGTATATATATTGTCAATTATTTGCTGTATTGTTTTTCCCTAATCTTTAAATTATTATAATAATGTTTTGATAATAAATCCAAAATAATTTAGGAAGTGGGTTAATAAAGGCAAAATAATTACAAATATCTTGATTAGATAAAAATAAGCATGTTACTCAAAGGTATTTTTAGAATGTATTAAGTAATGAAATATTCTAAAATTTTTCTAGTTGTAACTGATTTGTTCCTTTTTTCTTTTAGGATATTATTTTAGATGTTTGGTATCTGTTTAGCAAAATGAATCAGCCTCGTTCTGTATATAAGAATGATTTTTGTGCGTATGATTGGTTGGAGAATAACATTACTCCAGATCCAGATGAATTTTGTACTCCAGATAATGTTGATGATTGCTTAAAATATGTCTCTCGGGTATATATTTGGATATTTTCTCTTTTTTAAATTTATTTTTAATGATTAATGATATAATGATATATTGTTCAAAGCGTGCAAAGGGTTTCAAAATGTACCTGAATAATGCCTTTATGCAGAAAGATAAGAAGTTTACCTGATACTTATTAGTAAAGGGTGTTCACATGTTTTTGTAACGAGTTTGATTTTATCCGTGAATTTAAATATGAATTTTAAAATACAAACATGGCTGGTGTCTTGGGGTAAGGTTTAATTATCGTCTGCAGTATTAAAAATATTTGTTTCTTGAAAATGCCACTGAAAAATAAACTGGATCAGAGGCTATATTTTTGCACTGTCCGAAGAGAATAATGCTTATTCAGTTACTAAAAAAAGATATGAAAAGCAAGGTTTATGGTTTAAATATTTCTTCAGGTAAAATAAGTGACATAATATGAAAGAAAAGAAACATCAAAGTTTACATCTGCCTTGGAAAAAGGCAACAAATGCATACCCAACGAAGGTACGTAACAATTCTTATTAAATATAACGTTGCATCTCATGTTTTAGAGGGAAATCCAGAACCCCCCCCCAAAGAGCTATTGCAAAATCTTTAACTATCTCTGTAGGAACTATGAAGAAAATTATAAAAATCTGATTTAAAGCTAATCACAACAAAAAAATATGATGTTCATCACGTAACGCTGAAACATGTTTCTCAGCATAAGACTATGTTCAGATTGCTGTATGAAAATTATTTGGCAAGTGAAAAGTGGAAATATATAGTTACTATTGATGAGGCTTGGATATATTTTATCCAATGGCAATTATAATCGCAATGGAAAACGATTGATTTACTACCGAAAAAACGGAGAAAAAGACTTAATATGTTGGTACAAGGTTAGTTAAAGTTTTTCTAAAGCTTTTATGGTTATTACTGGATTCTTTTATAACCTAAAATTTGAAAAAAGGAAAGTAGAAAAAAATATCAAAATTAATTTGATTTACTATCAGAAATATGTTTTGTCACCTATTTTTAAAGAGGAAATTCCATGTCTTTATCCAAACAATCTTCACTGTATTAAGTTCCATCAGGATAAGTCTCCAAGCCATACCTCTAAATCTACTGCTCTGTTTTTTGAAAAAATGAGAAATGAAACCACAGTTGATGCTATTCACTTTGAATGCATCCCACCCAAGTCCCCTGATGTGTCTTCTATGAATTACTATGCATTTGTACTTTTAAAACAAGTTCTTTATAAGTGACATTTCAAAACATTAGATGGACTGTGAAAGATTGTGAAGGAGGAGTGGAATAAAATCAACCTTGATGATTTTAAAATGGACTTTTATCTTGGAAATACAAAATGTAATATGATAGTTCAACAAAAGGGCTATCAGATTGAACATATTGCAAAATAAGGTTCTAAGGTTTGTTCGTATATAAAGCTTCGCAAAATTGTTACAAAAATGTGTGAACACCGTCTGTATGTTTCTATTTGTTTTGAGGAAGTGTCTAAATACAGTACAAAGTCTGTAATCTGGACGTCCATTATCCGGAATGATCTATAATCCGGACCTCAAAGCCACAAACTTTTTTTTTTGTATGCCTTACGCATGCATATTTAATGTTACGCATGCGCATTTAATGTTTACACATGCAAAGCAACTTAAAAACGAAGCAACTTAAACAACTTACATAGAAAGAAATGTTTAATAAAACAAACAAATAAATATTAAGCTTTTTTTTTTTTTTGTAAATTTTGATACCCTTTAGATCATAATTGCTCTTTATTTCATAAATTACGGTTTCATATTTTTAATTGTATGATTTCTGCATGCCATCTTACCAGATTTCAATTGATAATCTATAATCTGGAATCGCCGAAGTTTCGACGAGTCCAGATTACGGACTTTGTACTGTATTGCCATATTCTTTTGGCTGTCATATATTAAGTAGCAAAAAATGTAACTATACACATTTCAATTCATCTGAAATATCTAAAACTTCTGGATGTACTATATCTTTCTGTAGTATGACAATTAGAGTTGCCATAAACGGGTTTGCAAGGCCTATCTGAAAAGAGCTGCCAGCAGATAATCGCCTGACAGTAACCATTGACATCATTTTTATTCATAATTATGTATTTGTAAACAGGTATTTTGGGAAATAACTAATCTAGAAAAATATTTAATGATACAAATTGTATTTAATATAAATCTAAATGATTTTTAAAATAAAGTTAAAACTTATTATGTGTACTGTTAGTAACAGGGAAAAGTAGTAATTCAAAATATTGAATTTTTATGCCACACCACATCACAGAGTTGCAGAATTTTGATTTAATTATTTTGAAAAAACCAGACATGCTGCACTGCCCTATCATGTAATTTAATGTTAAAGGAGTAGCGGAGATTCATTGTAAACCAAATACTGTTATTACCCCTCAAACTTATGGTTTTTAAATAGAAATGCATGATTTTAATTGAAGGCCCATACCGTCTAAGCTCAAGAATCATTCAGGTTTTGGTCTCTAAAATTAAGTCAACAATTTCAACTCCTTAAAAATCTCTGATTTCACCTGTATTTACCTGTGCTGTGTTGTATACTATTCATAAATTTCACTCTCCTGCTGTTTCCACTTAAGAAATTTTTTATTTGTATGTTCAGTAGTCAGGTTTCCTCGTTAATGATTTATTAAGTATTATTTTTAAGATTTTTAACTGCTTAATAAAAATTGAGATTTTTGCTGAAATTAATGATTTTGGTCTTAAAAATGTAGTATTAATAAGTAGACTATTATAAAAATGCTATTTATATACCTTAGCATACTTTTAGTTTCAAATTTTAGTATAAAGCAGTGAACTGTGTATTTATTACATTATTAGATTATAGCTTATATTTTGCAATTGTACTGTTAGACTGCGACATCATCATCAAAAGGAGGGGGGAGGAAACATGTAGTCATTAAGAAAAGACTACACAACCTTGCTGTACTGAGTTTAATTTTATGTTATACCTGTTAAATTTGAATTATTCATGAGTAAAGGAATGACATAGTCCATGTTGAACAATCAAATATATATTGGGAATATTTAGGTTACATGGAAACAAGCAACCACAGCAATGCACACCAGATAAGGACAAAACAACAACAACAACAACTCTCACTGTTGCCAGCTAACATAACGTAAATATTGGGACTGGCACATATATATCATTTTTTTTAAGTGCCCCCTTGCTAGTCACACTATGTGCAAAATATTACTTCCATAAAAAATTAATCACGCTTTGGTTGTACACATTTACAGAAGAACAATGTAGCTGCTATTACATGCTTAAACACTATTGACCTCTACTTTTGAATTGTATCATTAAATGAACACATATTAAGTTATACTAGGAAACACAATGTAGCTGCTATTGCATGCATAAACACTATTGACCTCTTCTTATGAATTGTATCATTAAATGAACACATATTAAGTTATAGTAGGAAACACAATGTTTAAATAAAAATAATTAAGAAAAATTTGTATGTAGGCTTCTTTCTGGAGTTTTAAGTCAAGTCTCTACACAGTTACAACCATAATGATTTATGTTCAGTCATAAACTTCAAAGGAGATCATTTTTACATGCAAGTTCTGGCATAGTTCATGTCACATAAAAGATTTTTCGAGGTCGACTTAGGAGATCAGCAAGATTGTTGCTGGATGGCACATGATCAAATACAGTCACATTTTCTTTTCACTGGGTCTCTCAGAAAATGCAATTTAATATCAGTGTGCATACTTCTTTCAGAAGTAACATGGTTCTTGGCTAAGAAGATTGCTGCCTGTTTGTCGACTAGCACTTTTTGAGGTGAAGCAGCTAATTCACTACAGATTTCCTTGATCAAATTTTTAATCCATAGGATTTACTTGGCAGTGTGACACATCGCCACATACTCTGCTTCTGTCGATGATAAAGCTGTTGTGGATTGCTTCTTTCTCGACCATGAGATTGGAGCACTTGCGAGTAGCATTATATAACCACTGTCGGATTTACGGTCAGTTCTGTCACCTCCCCAGTCGGCATCTGAGTAGACTTGAAATGGCTTACCTGACTTCTGGAATCTCAGCTTTCTGTGTCGTGTTCCCTTTAGAATGTGCTTCACACCTCTCCAGTGTTCTTCAGTGTGTTTTTCATTAAATTGGCTCATGTAGGTGGAAATATAAGCCATGTCTGGGCGAGTACCACAAGTCAGATAAAGGAGACTTCCTATTAGCTTGTCTGTAAGGGATTTCCTTGCTGTTTCCTTTGATTTCCTTCCACTGTTGTTCATCTACCTTCTTATATTTTATTCTGGGGTCTAATGGCGTGGATGCACATTTTGCTTCAACCATTTTAAATGTTTCTAGTATTTCTGACACATAAACGATTTGATCTAGTGTGTATGATTCATTTTCTTCTTTGCATATTCACATGTATAAGATCTGGCTTGCGGGACCTAGGTCCTTAACATTGAACCTTTTCTTTATGCTTTCCTTGAATTCATCTCCTTGGCATGTTTCCAACTATCGGGAGGTCATCAACATAAACTTTAGTTATAATGTTCTTCTCATGACAAAAGTAAATACAAGGGTCTGCTCTTGATGTTTTCAATCCATTTTGGATCAGGAAGTCGTTCAAGCAGGTATTTCATGCACGTCCTGATTGTCGGAGACCATAAATGCTTCTCTTCAGGTGGCAGACAAGATGTTCTTTCCCTTTCTCAATGCAGCCTTCTGGCTGTGCCATAGGTATGTCTTCTTTTAGAATTCCATTAGCATATGCAGCTGTCACATCCATTTGGTGAACCTCTAGGTTTTTCTCTGCAGCTATGGCAAGCAGTAACCTTATAGATTTAAGTTTGGTGACTGGTGAAAAGGTGTCTTGAAAGTCCGCTCCGGGTATTTGCAGATAGCCTTTTGCCACCAATCTGGCTTTGAACTTTACTCAGCTCCCAATCTCGTCATTTTTCTTATGAAACAACCATCTGGATGGTATTACCTTAGCGCCTGGTGGTTTCGTAGTTAGTTCCCATGTTTGAGCTTGAGTGAGGTTTTGAATTTCTTCCTCCATGGCTTTTAACCACATGTCAGCAGCTTTAGGTGATTTCAGGACATCTTTTAGAGTTACTGGGTCCTTTTCTTCAGATAGTTGTATATCTTGGGCATCGTACAGATAAAAATTTTTGAAATGTTTAGGAATTCTGGTGTTTCTTTTTCCAACTCTCTCACTCCCATGGGTAGGAGTTCTGGCTGCTGTTTCAACTTCATGGTCTAGGTTGTTAGCAACGTCTTATATCTGTGTAACTGATTGGCCTTCATCTTCTTAATCTGGAGTATTTTCAAGCTGTAGGTCTGGACATCTTTCAGAATTTTGGTCAATCAGATCTGTATTTAGACGTTGGGTTTCATCCGAGTCATTTACATCAGGAGTTATGTAATCTAGAGATGAGTCACGAGCTTCTGTTCCAGGTAAGTACAGGAAATATTCTGGTTCAAAGTCTTCAATTTTAAGAGTAGCTTCTTCTGCAGGATTGTCATATTTGCTTAGCTTTAAGTGGAAAACATTTTCTTCAAAAATGACATCTCTGCTGACGAAAAAATGTTTCTTCTTCAGATCATACAATTTGTAGCTCTTAACTCCTTTAGGATATCCCACAAAAACACATTCTGTAGCTTTAGGATCAAGCTTGCTTCCTCTTGAGTGTGAGCAAACATGGCTCCAGGCGCTGCATCCAAAAACTCTGAGGTGGTCTGTTTTGCTTCCAGACCCTAAACATCTTTCCTCTGGAATATCGCCATCAATTGCCATAGATGGGCACTTGTTGTGGAGAAAGGCTGCAGTAACCATTGCTTCAGCCCAAAACCTGTGATCTGCTCCGGAATCGATAAGTAAACATCTTGTCGTGTTTATCAATGTTTGGTTCAGCCTTTCTGCTAAACCATTTTGTTGAGGTGTATCAGGTACAGTTAGTTGTCTTTGGATCCCATGTGCAGCAAGGTACTCGTCAAACCTTTCACTTATATATTCCCCACCATTGTCATTTCTCAGAAATTTGATTTTTCTGTTTTGAAGATTTTCTACCATGTAACGGTACTCCTCAAATTTTTCTAGTACTTCACTTTTGGCTTTCATAGAGAATTTCATGCCTTTGGAAATTTTTCCCTGGATACAGAATTGGCATTTATTAATACTGTTGATTTTAGGTTTCTGCCAATGGGGATAATATTTTTGGTTGTACAACAATGTGGATGACCAAGTCTACGATGCAGCAAGTCAGCACTTTCAGTTTTCGTAACGTAAGCAGTTGTCATCTTTTCTTTGATCATGTACAGTCTTCTTTTATTCTCACCAGATAGAAGAGTGTTTGCATTCTTACTAATCACTTTGGCTTTTCCTTCAGCAAATTCTACTTTTAAGCCTCTTTCTTCAATTCTACCAATGGATAATAGATTTCCTCCTAGTTCTGGAACATATAGGACATTTTCAGTAGTGATGTTTTTTCTTCCATCTTCTTCTCCAACAGAGAATGAAATATATCCAATTCGAGTAACCTTTATTCCTTCTGAATTAGCAACTTCAACTTCAGATGTGTACTCCTTAAGGTCTGAGAATTTTCTTTTATCAGAGGTCATGTGTTCTGTAGCTCCACTGTCTAAAATCCTAAAATTAATTTTCCTTGATTTTTCTTCATTTGCCAGAAGTGCAATGTTTGTCTTGAGGTCAACTGCAGTTATGCAACTGTTTTGGTTCTGATATTTGGCCTTTTCACAATTTTTAGAGATGTGCTCCTACTGGCCACATCTGGAGCATTTAGTATTTCTTCCTCTGTTAGTCTCTTCTTCATTTGGCCTTTTAGCTGCATACTTCTTCATGGGTTTTCCAAATGCAGACTTCTTTTGGTTGGTGGCAAAACTTTTAGTGTGAAGAGCTTGTTCTTCATGGTACACTTTGGTTGAACTCTCATTTCTAACTATACGTTTCTCTTTTACGAGTAGCCTTGGTTTCAGAATCATAGTTGTCAGATTTGCTTCGTCTTTTTTCAAACTTAGGGTGAGCAATTCATAACTTCTAGGCAGTCCCAATAGCATCACTAGGGCCCCTTCTCTATCTGTGAAGGCATGTCCACCATTAGCTAATTTTCTGTGTTAAGTCCATTAATCTTGCTAGATATGATTAGACAGACTCATTTGGCTTCATATTTATGTTAAAGAATTCTCTCATAAGTTGCAGTATGTGAAGCAAACCGAATTTTGTATGCATTTCTTTTAAACAGTTCCAGGCGTCTCTGGCTCTAACACAATTTCCGATATCATCTAGAAATGTATCTTCAACTATGAGGAATAATAGGGTAAGAGCTTTGTCATTCTTTTTCCTCTCCGCTTCATTTATTTCAATTCCATATCCAGGTTCCACTGCTTTCCAACATCTCTTCTGCACCAGCACAACACACGAATGGATACATCGTGTGTGATAATTGTCGCTGTTTTGTTTTGGCATTTTATAATCTTCAATGTCCTTCTTCAAGTAAATGTATCAAGATGAATTCACCAGAAAAAAATTTATTTACTTCGTCAAAGGATGGTTATCCAGCTCACTTCAGGTTCACAATGTGGTTAGGCTTCGGTGTGATCTTCAATCCTGAATAGTCATGGCATTTCCTTTAGAGCTTCATTCTGATAACTTGTTAAATTTGAATTATTCGTGAGTAAAGAAATGACATACGTTGAACAATCAAATATATATTGGGAATATTTAGGTTACATGGAAACAAGCAACCACAGCAATGCACACCAGATAAGGACAAAATGACAACAACACTCACTGTTGCCAACTAACATAACATAAATATTGGGACTGGCACATATGTATTATTATTTTTTTTAACAATATCGTCCTGTTAGGTTTTCTTCTCTCTTTTCTGATTAATTTCAAATGGATACCACTGGTATTATAGGATAATTCTAAGCTGAAGGCTCAAGCCATTTATATTACGATTATTCGAGTATTATGTGCAAGTTCCATTAAGTAAAAGAAAATAGAGACAGATATGGACAGAGATACATATTTAATAATGATTTAAAAAAATTACAATGCTATTCTTCCCTAGTGTGCCAGCATGATGTGTGAATTGTAGCGCATGCAAGTCCTATTATTTTCAGGAGCATGTGTGAGTTGAGCTCTCAACTACATCTCAATGCATTGAGGGGTAGAAGGTAGCAGAAGTATTTTGTGTCATAGACATTGTCATCAATTTATAGCAGCAAGCTATATGCAATTGAGTGAGTGAAACATTGTTAGTGATTCCATCTGCTGAGGAAGATATTATCTGCAGTGTGATATGTCAGCTTCATCGGAACTGCTGCTTCCTAACCCACTGCTAAATTGTCAAACCAAAATGGCATGATCCAAATGCAAGTCAGGAATTGGTTTTATGTCTTTAGTGCAGTGCTATTATTTATCACATGCCCTCATTATGGGAGCATTATCACATGCCCTCCTGAATGGAAACACTCAATACACACTTATCCACAATAGATGACTATAATTTTAAAAATGTTTTTGTGCTTGTTTATTTAAAATAGTTTAGTATTTTTATAGTTAAAATGTTTTATCGTAAGAAAAGATGAATTTATTAATTCATTCTAACTATTGTTACCTGCATTTTAATAGCAATACAATTATTGTTTTTATTTATTTTGTAGGAATTTAGTGCCTTAGGATATCCATCCATATACTCAAATACAAGTTCTTGCCCTTTTTCTGTAAACTGTGATATTGTGAACTTTTTGAATGGTACTTTTGAACTGTTAAGAAGTTGCACTGAGCATGTACAGACCAAAGAAGTTCTTGAGAACAGGTTTGCAAAATCAACTTTTATTTGAATATATACATTTCCTGCTTTTATTATTTAAATTACTTTTAGCTACAAAATTCTTTAACTGAGATCTGAAAAAAAAAAAAAAAAAAAAAAAAAAGAGTGATGTAAATCAATGGTTTCAAGCTCAAACTGTTTGTGGGTTAAATGCTAAAACAACTGTTGAGCCAGAAATTTATTTAAAAAAATGGAAGTTTTTTGTCAGCAAAATAAAAAATACTTTAATTAAATTTTTAATTTGGCTTACCAAAATTTTTAGCATATACATAAACAGTTATACAGTACAAAGTCTGAAATCCGGATTCATTGGGACTTTGGCGATTCTGGATTTGAGATTTTTCCAGATATTAGATCAGCAGTTTAAATCTAGTAAGCTGACATGTAGAAATTATAAAATTAAAAATATGAAATTGTGATTTATGAAATAGTGAAGAATTTATGATCTAAAGGGTATCAAAATTTCATTGTTCGTACGGTCCTTAATTGTCCTTAAGTTTTTTTAAATCGATTTTTAGTCCTTAAAAGTTTTTAAATTTGGCCAAAATCGGCAGAAGGTCCTTAATTTTAATCATCTGAAAATTCTGTCTGTTTTTACGATTGCCATTTTGAGTGGGAATTAGCCACTCAAAATGATTGCCATTTTGAGTTGTTTGACTTCTGAATTAGTGTGAATTAGCATTTTGGAGGAATATTTTTCGCAGTTTGCTGGAAAATATCCTTATCTTTTGAATGTGTGAATGTGTTCATGGGTTATAATTTGTTCCTTTTTTTATCACATGGGCAGGTATAAATGGTGGGATAGAGTTTTTCTAAGCAAGAAGTGCAACACAAGCATTTCGAAATTATTTCATTTTTTCCATTTTTCTAGTGAAGAACTCTTAAACAACTTTTAGCTTTTGGGAATGTGAATTCTTTTATTAAATTGCTCTAAATTTGGTGACTTGTCAACATTTTGTCAATTTTAAGATCAAAATTTTTAATTCCGAGATCTGGGAATTTTTCGACAATTTTTTTAGAACATTGTAACATTGATAAATTTATAAAATAATGTAATATATTGTAATTACATTTAAGAAATACATTAGAATCAGCATTATTTTTTGCTGTTTGTATTATAAAATTCCATTTGGCCACTTGTACAGTATTTTGAATCTGAAAAAAAAGCAAGGTATAATGCTATCAAGCAAATTTATAAGCGTTCTTAGCAAAAGCAAAATAGTATGTAATTAATTAAAATGTCTTTTTAATTTTTTCATGGTAAGAGTTTCTCATGCAATTGTCTCAGAATATTCAGAATTCTCAGAATATGCATCAGTTTTCTCAATAAAATTAATTTTACACTTTTTTCGTTCCCCCCCTTTTTTCCCCCAAAATATTTCTGGCTTTTTGCTGTTACAGAATTGTCAGGGGTAATTTTTCTTTAAGATTTTAGACATTGCAGCTTGGAAAGTTTAGAAAGATTTGAAGGCAAGATTTATAGACCCACGATTCTGGAAGATTCGAGAAAAATGTGGCAAAAGGAAAAATGTCTCCATGGTATTAATCCATGATTCCTTACTTTTTGGAGAAGATCTAGAAGAACAATGAAAACATAATTGTTGAATTTTTTTATTTTTGATACTAGAATCTTTTTCTTAACATATTTATCTTCCCTTTATTTTCTCTACTTTTCACTAGACACAAGCATGGAAAATCTCAAAAATATCAAATCTTATCACATGGCCAGGCATTAGAAAGGGATTCTTTTTAATAAAGAAATTGAGAAACTTTATTAATAAAGAAATTGAAAACAATTTAAAAGATTCATCTAATATGTCTTAATGCATCATACACAGAGCTGGCACTAGGCATTTGCCCACATAATGCAATCTCTGTGGATTCTAAATTGTCTCCATGGCATCAACACGTAATGGATGTATTTTACGGAAAGTTTACAATGAATTAATTTTTGGAGAATTTCTAGAAGAACAATGAAAACATAATATTTCAATGTTTTTACTTATGATACTAGAATCTTAACATGGTTATCTTCCCTTTATTTTCTCTACTTTTTCATTAGATACAAGCACGGAAAATATCAAAAATGCTTCTAATCTTATCACATGGGCAGGCAATTATAGAAAGGAATTTTTTATTAATAAAGAAATTAAAAATTTACAATTTAAAAGGTTCATCTAATATGTCTTAATGCATCATATACAGGGATGGCGCTAGCCATTTTCCCACCTGGTACAATCTCTATCTAAAATGGAAAGGAAACGTGGAAGAAAGAAACTGAATACATTAAGAGAAAGGGAAATTATTCTTCAAAGATATGTACAGATATTATTATGTAAATTGCCTAGTTGTTTACAATTTCAGCCTTTACTATAATTTCTCATTTCTATTTTCTCACCAGAATGCAAATCACTTAGACAGTTTTTAAACTGAGGTTTTTGGAGTTTAAGACAAGTGTGTACTTCTGACCTCCACTTGCTCACTGCATTAGTTCCTGCCAGCTCTGATAATTTGTAATTATTTGTCTTTACATTACCGCTGCCGGCCCACCAGCGGCCGAGCGGTAAAGTCGCTGTACACTGGTAGTTCGGTCCGAGGTTCGAATCCCGCGAACGGGCTGGCTGCATGGGCGTTTTCGTGGTTTTCCCCATGTGTAATGTGTATACGAGCCAGTTTCCCTTAGAAAGTACTCCACGAAGGCATCCCTCCTCTTAGGCAGATAGCCCTCGAGGCTTTGCCAATCACCACACACACACACACACATTACCGCTGCCGACATTTGAATTTGTTAAGACTATAAAGTTACTGAGCCAGCTTAAAATGAAATTAAATAGTATAGTCTTTGATTACTAGTCCATATTTTTAGTTTTGATTCTTCTTGTTTAATTACATCATCATGAGCTGTAATTGATTTATTTAGCATAAGAACATGCCTTTATGTTCTGAGTTCTTTCTAAATAAGAAGCTTATTTAAATCTTTCTAGCTACTTTCAGACATAGCAATAATTTGCTTCACATCTGTCCGGAGGGTTTTGGATTATTTAACTTTTACCAGATCAAGTAACCCTCGTAGGTACATTTTGGAGAGGTTGACAGGTTAGGAGCTAAACTAAACTAGTGAGAACATTGTCTTGCATATTGAGACAAAGTTCTGACTGTTAGAAAAGATGCTTAAAGAGAAGGGAATGGATATAAATTAGCCAAAATGTCTGTGAAGGCTTCAAATTAAAAACACTCGTAAATATTTTGTTGAGTGTTGTTGCTACAAAACATATAAATGTTTTGTAGCTTTTAATGTATAATTATCCCTAATATCATTTAAGAATCAATGCCATAAATTTTATGTATTTTAAACTGTGAAATTTTATTCGATTGTGATTTAATATGGCTATTTTAACAAATATTGTTAAAAAATAAATAAAATTTAATAGTGCCCTTGTAAATCCATAATGACTGAGGTTATATAATACCTAATTTAATTACTTATAACTAACTGGTTACCTTTAAAAGTTATCACTGCATTTTATTGCCTTTCATTAACCTTTATTGTGGTCACAAGATAAAACACAAAAATGTAAAAATTCGTGTAAACCAATTCATCTCATCTAGCGAGACTTAAAATAATGCAAAACAACTTGTCACCTCTGGTGCCTTAGTGGATTATTAGGACCTTAAACTATATTAACTGAGTTACAACCCCTGTAACTGTACAAGAAAATACGACACTAACTGCGCCAGACAGAGCCCAGCTAACTTTCGAAACTTGTGAACTGTGCTTATATCAAGTCTTCCTTTAGGCAAGAAGAAGCGGTGACAACAGCCAGTCTTTTGTTTTGAATCATGCTGATTGTGATTTTACTTCTCACTATATGCCACTTGACATAAAATCTACTTACTATTTACTAAGCCACTAGACTGAGCAAGTATGTGACAAAATGAGACATTAGAAAAATCAACATAAAGCTAACTGTTAGTAAAAACTAAATAAAATGTCACTTATCTTCTTTCAAATATGTCCAATTATTATGAGTAAAATATTTAATGCTACTTGATAAATTTCACAAAGTTTATTTTATTCTCAAAATTATTAATAATTATGTTTAATAATAATGCATCCGACTTATGGATCTATCTTTTTTTAGATGGTATTACAAAAGTGAAGTTCAGCGTGATAATATTTTAAAAGTGATTATTCAGTTCTCATGCTTATAGGGTCCTTAATTTTTTTCTAATGCTCCTTAAAGTACTAATTTCCGTGTGCAGAAAGTGTACGAGACCTGAATCCCCCCCCAAAAAATAGCTTAATGTTCATTGTTTACCTTATTAAACATTTCTTTAATGTAAGTGTTTTAAGTTGCTTTGTTTTTTTTTTTTTTTGTGCTAATATTTTCATTAATTCTGTAGACAGACATAATTCTTGTTTAGTTACATTGATGAATTCGCATGCTGTTTCGGATTCCGACTAACTTGTCAACTGAATTCTCTTCACTTCTCACTATTGTAGCAGTATTTCTGGATCTATAACCTACTACAGATTCGCATTCATGCTATAAAAAACGTCTTTATTCTCTTCATTCTTATGCTTCTCCCATTTCTTTAAAAATCGTTAATTGGAAATTTTACTTTGTTTTGCAATCTCCCAAAACTTTAAATAGTGGCTTCACATCAAATTAGCTATCCTTCACTATACATATTGGCTATGCATCTGAGCTGCCGCAACGCCAGTTCCGTTAAATTTTTTTACTTCTGTCGTGCACTGAGACATAGTCTGAAATTGTATTAGTGGCTCTTTATTATACTTAGCCTGCCATGCTTAGGCTTATCAGAGTTCTGAATAGATAAATTCTCACATATACTTAAGCCTTATCGAGGGCCGGCGCTAGATATCTTACCGCTTATCTCTGTGGGTCCTAAATTCTGCGAGCATTGCAGTCTTACAAGCCCTGGTTTTATGTGAATAACAAATCGGTTATTCTTAATTCCAATAGCCCTAAATGTAATCTCTGGGTCTATTAGTATCATCAAGAAAATCTATTTTTAGCATATGGAAAGAAAATTTTGTTAAACTGTTCCTCGTCAACATTTTTTAGCACATCAACTTAAATCTGTAATCATCGCCAAGCGTAATGTCAACATAAAAGTTACCATACTCCTTTGTTATTAAATTACTAACATTAAAAAAATTGTTTAGGCATCGCTACATTAGTCATTACTCAAGTTGTCATGTGTTGATAAGCTGCAGTGATCAAAGGAAAGTATAAAATAATGATGCGAGGTTGGTGTCAGATCAGTGATGTATCTATGGGAATGTTTCGGTTTGAAATGTGTGTCAAGCAGACGTGCATTAACAGAGCAAATTACCGATTGTACAAATTTATCCTAAAATGATTGTTTCTTCAATAACAAGGTATTTTATTTAGTGTCTTATTTACTATCAAAGTGAAATTAAGAATCGGGACTCTCCAGATGTTTCATTATGTGCAGAGGGGGTGGGGGAATCAAATGCGCATGCATAAAGCCTACGAGGAAAAACTTAGTTCTAAGGTCCGGATATTGGACGTCTAGAATTCGGACTTTTTTTGTACTGTATTGTTCATATGCATTATTTCAAGTAGTCCAAGTTATTTACTTTCTGTAGCTTTTAGTGAACTATGCTTGTTGTTGCCTTGATTCTTTTTATTGGCCAAGAAGAAAACACTTAGATAACATTTTAGCAGTTATAAAAATATGGGTACTTTTCCGTTTCGCCGGCACAAATCTCGCCAACAACACATAGTATACTCATAAAAAAATGTTAACAAATGTTAGTTCTAAGAATTTTTTATTTTTAAGGTATAAACATTTTAATATCCTTTAAAATTTTGAATAAAAAAGCCAATAAATTTTCAAAAAGACATTAATTTAAGAATTTACTATGCTTTCATGGTAAAACATCCTGATTCGCCGGTTCACATCACGTGACCCAAGTGATCTCATTTCACGTAAAGTACACTACAAAAATTCAATTCTCTCAGTAATTATCTACATTAATTTCAAGTTAAATCTTAATTTGGAATTCAAATTTAAATGCAAGAATTATTTCAATTCGTACAAATAGCTTATTCAGAAATTATGTAAAACTACAGGGCTTTGCTAGTGCATTCTCATTAGAACTGATGAATTTAACCCTCGACTTTGCCTTTTCTATATTTTCGCCTTCGGATGAGCAATGTGATTGCTTCCTAATTACCGTGAAATGCCTTAGGGCATAAAATTGAACTATCGGGGTAAAAATTCTATTAATTTCTATGTAATTATATGCCAGTATTGAAAGAAGTGATCAATCTGATAAGAAATGGCTGCGACTTGTTTTGAAAATGAGACGTAAAAGGGTACCAGCAAAGATATTCCGTTTGGCTTCGGTTGTACCATTTTTGGCGACCTTTATCGCTTGCACCAGCAAAATGGAAAAGTACCAAAATATGTTAATCTTGCTCTTCATTTTAGTCCTCAAATAAAACTTTTTGATTTTCTAAGTAGCATTTAACAAATCACAGTTGATTATAAAACTTTTTTCTGTTCATTAAACTGAATTATTTAAATATTCAATCCAACATATAAAAAAAAAAAAAAAAAAAAAAAAAAAAAATAAAAATCTAAAAATAGATCGCTCATGAGTATTACTTTAATTTGTCATGTGTTAATAACTGCGGTGATAAGAAGATAATAAATAATATTCACAGGTTGGCATCAGATCAACGATATATCTATGTGAAATGTTTTGGTTAAGCAGATATGCAGCAATGGAGCCAAATTACTGATCATACAAATTTATACTAAAATGATTGTTTCTTCAATAAAAAGGTATTTTATTAAGTGTAGAAGTGAAATTTAAAATCAGGACTCTCCAGGTGTTTTGATATGCTCGGTGGAATCAAATGCACATGCATAAAGCCCATGAGAAAAATGTTGTTGATGGTTTTGAGGTCCGGATTTTAGATCGTTCCGGATATTGGACATCTGGATTTCGGACATTGTACTGTAGTAATAATGAAAAAATTTTAATTTATATATTTTCTATGTAAAGTTTGGCACCTGAAAGACTTTTTTATCGTTATTTTTCATAATTTGAATATATTGATAGCTAATTATTAAATTTAAGAGTTATATTTGTTTTGAAAAATTCTAACTTGTTTAATTAATCATAAAACAGTTTACATAAAATATAAACAAATTATGAAAACTAAGTTTTCAGATGAAACTTTGCAATTCAAACATACTGATAACCAAATGCTAAGTTTTCAGACTCTTTATTTCAAATAAATCTAATAGTTTAATTAATCATTAAATAATTTAAAGTTAAAATAAATTTTTTAAAAATGCAAAGTGAAAGCTTTCCAAGTGGCACATAAATAATGACAACCTCGTCTCTTTCTCTTGTTTATTTAATCTTTCTTTTTTTTAATACATAAATAAAAATACACAAATTTTGTATGTAAATAAACTTCTTTATTTCATAATGCAGCTGGCCACTTGCTACATCTTTCAATTCTTATAAAGTTTGTAGCCTTGGATAAAAGTTGCTACAAAGTATCTTCATTGTGGATCGTAAATGTTTACTGATCGATCAGGTTTTTTTCATATTAATTTTCAACTGCGATAAAACCTGTTCACGTGCAAGTATCCCCAAATAAAGCAGTTCTTCTTAATGCAAAAATTCTGAACTAAGCATATTTACTTTTTGGCAGTATGAATGTAAGTTTATTGTGTCTGTACTTTTAAATCTCTGAGTAAGATTTATATGGTATTCTAAATTAATTAGCTCCATTTATAAATTTTATGTTAATTTGTATTATTCATGTTCATTTTTAAAGGTAATGAAAATATATAAATTCAGACTAAAATTCTGAAGTCTTTGCCATACTTTATTTGTGGGTCACCAGTTTGAGACTGTTGATGTAAATGATAAATAATATGCAGATGTCATTTCATGCAGTTATCAAATCATTTCTTATCTGTTATATTTCATTATCTTTTATATTGCTGTTTTTCAGATGTGAGTTGATTATATCAACATTCAAGTTAGACACACAGCTTAAATGTGAATTCAAAATTTGATATTTAAGATGAAAAGGTAGCATACGAGGAAAAAAGTCATACAGTGTAACAAAAGCAGTCATTAATGACCCTTGAATTTGAAGATGAAAATTCATGCACCCGCTTACCTGGGTTGCCATCTAAGTACATTTGATGTAATCATGGTCTGCCAATTTGGGCAACGTACTGCATTGCCTAATGAATACCTTTCAGCAGGATTGCATATAATCAGAAAGTACCTTTTATTCTTTAAAAGAAAGACATTCAGAATCACTTAAACATGGCCTCAAGAAAAGACTGCTGAACGCTAGTAATTCATCTCAGTTTTTGTAATAAGCAGAGCAGCTGGCTACTTGGGGTTTCTATGAATTTTTTTCATGGCTATTTTTGCATACTATAGAAATGGATTTATTTTTAACTGATTTTTGAATAGAAAAGAAAAGATTTGTAACCTGAAGTTCTTTTTGCACAAGGCTTGTATAAAAATAAAGAATATATTTTCTCTTAAAAAAAATCAAATGACCAAAAATGTCTAGAAATCTTATCTGATTTATTTTTTTAAATGGACCTATGGATCCATGTAAGATGTATTTAGCTATATGTTCTTGATATAACACCCTGTAAGTGTGTGAATAAATGTATGTGACTATAATTAAGTAACTAGTTTTGCAAAATTATCATGGCATTAATTTTTTTAATACAGCGCATAATTGCTGAAATAGTTACTTTTTTATTTTGGTGGTGTGTGCATGTATTTATAAGGTGTCATATTTTTTTAATTATTGCTTTTTTCAGAAATCATTGCTTATCTGCTGATATCAAAGCACTTTGCAAGAAAAACTCTCAGCTTAAAAATAGTTTAGATCAAAGTGCAAGAAAATATGGCTCTGCATTAGAAAAGGAGAGACAATTAAAAGAAAGAAATGATCAACTTTTGCAACAGTTGAAGTATGAGAAAAATGAAGTGTGTATTATTGTTTTATTTGTGTTATAAGAGTTCTTATAGTTTTATACAATTAATACATAAACTTTGAAAAAATCTGAAAGTGTTTCAGATTTCAATAGTCACCCAAAAGGGCTTGTTAAGGTTTTTTACGCTCTCGCCAAGCTTACTGTGTACCAGGTCTGCTGTTACACTCACTCCTACTACACCCTGTTTTTTTTTTTTTTTTTGTCTTTTTTTGCTTTGTTATTAAGCATAATTTTCTTTGCACTTATGCCATATACAGTTCAGCAAAATTACATTTTTAGAACTGCATAGCAGTATACATTTAGAATTCCCAATGTATCATTAAGTATTGGCATAATTTTTCTCTCTTTTCTACTCTTTTCTCTGTTCGTCATATCAATGTTCAGTTTTCTTATTACGATGTTTTAAGGTGATTTTTTACTAAGATGTTCTTACAGAACTTTTTCTTGTCTTTTTATTATTATCATTTTGCGTGTTTACTTTATTTATTAAATTTATTAAATATCACGTTCTTGGCATTTATGTAACTTAAAATTTGATTCAATAGCAGAATCAAAAAATATTTAAAAATAGCATGTCTGTAGAATGTCTGATAGACAGTCTTATGTGCAGGAGATTTTTTTTTTCCATACAGTGTTGCCACTGCTCACTTTGAAGTGGTTGAGTTTGTTAATCAAAAATTCAGTAAAGTTTTACAAAATATGAAATAAATAATAAAGCAAATTAGGAAATTCAAAATTCGGGCTTCAAGGTGCTCCTGCTTGAGTGGAGGACTACATTGTTCAAAATTTGATAGCTCTAGCTTCTGTTGTTTTTTCATAATGCAAGAAACATGCATACATTTATGCAGATTCTTCATTATTTAATTTCTTGAAATAGAAATTCAAATTTTTGGCAAAAATTTAAAGAGTGATACACCATTTACAATTTATAATTAAAATCCCTTTTTGTCTAATAATTTTTAAGCGATGTAAAAAATAAAGCAAACTGCCAAATTTTCTTTATTTAAAGAAACCTAATCATTTCTTTACTTTGTTACTTAATTTGATCACCGTTGTGCAATTTTTAACTTAAAGAATTCTTCATCAAGAACATTATTATTATACTTTTTGATCTGATGGATTTAAATAAAAAAGCAAATAATTCATGATATATCTAATTAGACAGAAGATATATAATGTTCTCATATTATTCTAAATGTATATTCATGTAATTATTCGATAAAATATTTCAGTATTCCAGCTTGGCCATCTCTACTGATATTTAGTTCTAATAAACCATATTACACTTTAAAAAAGTTCTTATGGGCAACTGTTAAAATGTGAACCCTAACAATTTTTTCCTTTGGTTTTTCTCTTTTCTTTCTTTTTAAATCTTTACTGAGCATAGATCTGTATCATATATGTATTTTCACATCTTCAAAATAACTGAATCTGTCTTATTGATTCCTTTTGTGATTTTTGCTGACTGGGTATTATTAAAAAGAAATGCATTAATAAAATTAGCTACCTGCATGAAAAGAAGTTAAAATTTTAAAGATATTGAAAAGATTGATTGTTATGTGAATATTTATGTGTTAAAAATTTAAACTTCTGATAAATGTAACTTAAAATGAATAACTAGCTGTAATATTAAACAGATTTTAATTTAGTTCTTTGAACTAAATATCATAAACTCTATTTTTATTTAATCAGTTAGGAATATGATTAAATTAAACTGTGGCTTTGAGAACAGTTTTAAATTAATTTTGATTATTAAATGATTGCAAATTTGATTCAACAAGTATCTTTACATCTAATCAATATTTGGGCATGATGCGAAAACTGTATCCCATAAAATTAAGTAATGAATAAGAAGAAATTAGAATATATCACATATTATTTACAAGAGAACTAAAATTAAAAGTCACATTTGTAACCAAATTAAATTCACGGTACTTTTCCGTTTCGCCGGCGCGAATCTCGCCAAGCAGACTTTATTGGCGAAAACATACAATATACACATAAAAAATATTAAAAAAATCTTGTTCTAATATTCCTTTTTGAAGCATAAACATTTTTAATATATCGCTAAAATTTTATAAAAAGCCAGTAAAATAAAGACAATAATTTGGAAAAAGACAATTTAAGAATACTATGCTTTCATGGTTAAACATCCAATTCGCCGGTTTACATCATGTGACCCCCCAATCTCATCTCACGTAAACACTTACAAAATCTAATGCTCTCAGTAATATCTACATTAATTTCAGTTAAATCTTAATTTGGAACAGTAATGCAAGAAATATTTCAATTCGTACGAATAGCTTACTAGAAATTATGTAAAAGTGCCTAATGCCATTCTCGTTAAATTGATGAATTACCCTTGACTTTTACTTTTCTATTTTTTCGGCTTAGGGTAAGCGCTGTAATTAATCCTAATTGACTTAATTATCGAAAAAGCATTAGCATAAAACTGAACTATCTGATAAATATTCTATGTAATTATATGCCATTATTGAAAGAAACAATCTGATAAGAAAAAGCTGCAACTTGTTTTGAAAATGAAGCTTAAAAGGTTACCAGTGAGAATATTCCGCTTGACATCGGTTGTACCATTATTGGCGACTTTATCACTTGCGCCGGCAAAACGAAAAAGTACCAAATTCACTTGGTATTTTATTGGAATAATATCGAGGAAGTTGTCCAAGTGTAATCAAATGGCAGTCGAAACAATAACTCATATTATAGTTGGCAGAAAAGTACTATTAACAATTTACTTTTATTTTTAAACAGTTAGTCTGGAGAATAAATTCATTTCATTATGTAAATAAATATACAAATAAGAACTTGCTATGAAAATAGAAGAATAAATATCATAAGAAATGAAGAAGCTAAGTTATAAATAGCATTAGAAAACAGTGTTTACAAGAAACCTTGAACAATGTTATTGAGTTTAAACTTGTAAAAAATCAGTCAGAACATGTTTTTAATGGAAAACATTCTTGTTTTCTGGATAAAAGCAACTCCCTGATATGTTGATATTATTTGTTATCATCATTGTTATTGTCTGCATTTTTTACCCCCTTCTCTCTTTCTTTATCTTTTCTTTCTCCCCCACCCCAACTTGGGATTTGCCAAGAAATTACTATTTGCTTCAAGAAAGACACATTCTTCACAAAGAAAGGTTACCTTAAACTGACCATTTCATCAATTAAAATATGACTTTCATCAATTAAAATAAGTCTAAATGGCTATGCTATCTTCACTTGTGCTGGGAAGATGATAATCTTGATTCATAGATAATGCATTTCTTTATTGTTATATGGCTCATTTACTTATAATGTCAGGTGTTAACATCTATTGAGTTTAGTGAACCAAACTCGCTTCATATGAATCTCAGTGCAGTGGAAATTGATGAAAACTTATCATGATGAAACTTATTGATGAAAACCACAAAAAGAAAAAAAAATAGTGTAAGCCATATTCTCATCCTCTCTAGTGGATGTTTGAAAGTTTTAGTTGTGAAATCAGTTAGCATTCCTTTTTACAATTCCTACTCTATTACATCAATGCCTATTACCTCTATGCATTCCCAATCTTCATCTCATTTAGTATCAAGCCAAAAACACGAGGAAAGAAATAAGCCAGAATGCACAAATATGTTGCTAAAATGTATGGTATGGCTTTAGTGGTAAGGTGCCTCTAAGTCTTTGATTTATTAGCACACTACCAAAGATTTAACTTACCAGTGGCTTAATATGATTATAACACTCTTTACAAGCAGTGACTATTTGGAACATGAATGCATTATACTGCAACTTAGTTGTAATGATATAACTTACCAGTATCATAATATGGTTACAATGCTCTCTGCAGTCTGATTGCAATTGAATTTTTTTAAATATTTAAATATTTATATACTTTAGTAGCATGTGCCATCTCAGCAGTGAATTGCAACAATTCATACTTCATGTGTGTAATAGCATTGCAGCTTGTATTATGATCACATCCATTAAGTATATTTTGTTTAGTTTGAGTTCAATAGCAAGAAACTGTTAAGAATAATAAGGAATGTCTAAGCATTATAAGCAACTGCTTATATGAGTTGCATGTGAGTAGTGGACTCTCAGGTATTGGAAAGTTATCTGATGTAATGAGTCCAACTTCATCCTTACCATAGCAATCGTCTGGTTCATATGTGACGTATATAACATCAAATTGTATCCCTAGATTTCATCATTAAACAGGGAGGTGGAAATGATGTCCTAATTCATGAGACTTTTCTTTTACCACTCTCTTTTTTTTTTTTTTTTTTCCCTGAATGTTAATATGTTATTGCTGTCCGGGCACTGAATAAAAATAGCTGCAGTAATTTATAAGCCATTTACAATGTAACTTGTAGTTAGTGAACCCTTATGAGACTAAGGGCTTTTGTCTGTTGTAAGGAAGTGTCAGCTAAGAGATGTGCATTGTTCTTCTACCCCAGGGGTCTTGAGATTCAGAAATGTGATAATCTTGAGTCTGTTAATAAAGATAGCATATTGAAACAGAATGTTCATTAATAAAGGTTTGATTGTCTCTGTTCCACAAATTTGCCAAAAGATATATGAATTACATCCATATATCTTTCGGCAGAATATGCCATTGTGTTCATGCAATCATTGAGCTGTTAGAAGAACAATAAATAAAATAAAATAAAATAAATAAATTCACTGCCTTAATCTGACCTCCCTCTTATCTGATTGGAATCCAGTGATAGCTATGTGGGATATATGCTGAATTAAGTGAGAGAGTGCTACTGGAGTAATGCTGGTTTGAATTACCTATAGAGGATGCTTGGAAGATGGAATTTGTTTTTGAACGTTCATTTCTTTATGAATTTAGTTTATAATCTTATTTTTTTTAATTTGTAGTTGTATTTAGCAATAATAAAGTATCAGTAATTGTGAAATTAGGTATTGTCATGAGATTAAGCAAAGAAATTGTCGAGTTTGAGTTCTTATCTGAAACTTGAACTAATCATTAATTTCCAGTAAAACAGAACTCGAGCATTCGATGTACATGTTATCATACACTTACAAAGCATTCGTATTTCAAAGATTTATGCTGCTCGTGAGCTAAGTTGAATGTCTTATTAAAACAGGGACATATGGGTGATTAATTACTCCTTCGAGGGGGAGATCCTGAATTTTTTAATAACTGCAGGAGTTTCATTTCTATCTTCTCTGGAAAACTTAATAAATATAAAGGGAAAAAGAGGCTCTTACTTTTAGACATAGACCTTAACAATTTTGTGTAGTTATGAAATTTCTTTTAATATTTTTAGTCTTACTTGTTTTTATTTTGTTTGATGCACATTTTTTCTTAAACATTTAAAATTTTTAAATTTTTAGGTAAGGAAGGTGGTGGCCCAAATGCAACAGCAAAAAATTGCCTATGAACATGAAATTAGGAAGCAAGAAAATTATGTGAATCAGATGAAGTCAAGAATGAATCAACTTCTGGCTAACAGAAATGCAGAAAAGAAAACTGGTTTGTTTAATCATATGTATCATAAAGTAATAATACATATATTAAGTTTTAAAAAAATGTTTGCCCCTAATACAAATAGACTTACATTGTGCTGTTAATATTCTTCCTTTAGTTTACAGTTTAAGGAGTACAAGTCATTTAAGAAAATTTGACAAGTTGTGATTACTTTCTGAAATTTTATGCATTTAAAAGATTAGCATTTCATACTAGGTTCTGTATAGTTCAGTTACTGCAGCTCAAGGCATTGTTATTAGCAAAATTTTGTCTTTCTGTAAGATTAATGATAATTACCATAATTTCTGGAAGAAAGGCCGCATCAGTGTAAATGCTGCACTCAAGTAAATTGACAGGGAAAAAATTTAAATTGCACAGAAACGGCGCATCAGCGTAAACGCTACAATAGATTAAATTGCGCGTGACATCGTCGTGGGCCGTATAGATGCAAAATCTCAACCTAAGTCCTGATATATGACATAACAGTTAAGAAAAATGCATGAAATGAAACCATAACTCAAAAATAAATTAAAGGTAAGAAATGTTGAAACTATATTTAAGTTCACGATATTACTTTATTTACCATAACTAAGAAGTCCATATTGTAATACTATTTATAAAAAATGTTGCAACAACGAAATATAAATTTGAACGACAAAAGGAAATTTAAAATTTTACTTACAAAAGGAATTACAGCAAACTATACATCATATGAAGCTATCAAAATCTGATTCATCACTATCTGAATTAAAAAGATTTAGTAAATCCTGATCGAAGTCCAAGTCATCCAGATCATCATATTCATCCTCTTGGTTTACAGTCTCTTTATATAAGGATATAGTTTCAGCTTCTTTGAACCCTGCTATTATTGACGATGTTTTTACCGATTTCCATGCACTTCCTACCCACTTTGCAACTTCTTCATAAGATGCTCTACGCATTTTACCGCTTTTGGTATGCGTATGCAATCCTTCACTCATCCAACCCTCGCACTGCTTTAGGACCTTCAGCTTTGAAGGATTTATTAACTGACAAATCTAATGGTTGTAAGATTTTTGTCAAACCATCAGGAACTGCTATGGTCCTAGACAATTTTTGACATCTGGTTTTCACTGACGCAAGTAAATGAGCATGCATGGAATCCATTATCAACCCTTTTGGTTGGAAAAAAGATCCCTTACGACACTGCCAAACTTTTTGTAGCCACTCGTGAATGATTGTTTCGCACATCCAGCCGTTCTCATTTGCACAAATAATTACGTCATTAGGAAAATCTTCCTTTGGAATGATCTTTCGTTTAAAAATGATCATTGGCTTTAGCTTGTCACTGTTTGCGGCACAAGCTAACACACATGTAAATGACGTCTTTCATGCCCATCGTAAGCACAGATACAGTTTTTGCACCAGTTTCATCAACAGTTCTGTTTGCAGGAAAGTCGAAAGCTAACAGCGTTTCATCCATATTTATTATCTGTGACCGAAGAAGTTTTCTTTTGTCAATAATATCTGTCACATATTTTAGAAAAGATGCTTTTTTATCCTGCCAGTCCATTGGTAATTGTTGCTCGACTGTTGTTCTAGTATGCACAGAAATATTTTTTCTTTTCATAAATCTGCTACACCAGCAAGGCGCTCCTTTGAAATCATTTATGTTAATTTGTTTTGCTTGTAAGCCAATTTTTACAGTCAAAATTGCCATTCCCTTTCCTTACTGCTCTTTTATCCAGTTTGCAAGGTTGTCCTCTAGATTTGGCCACCTTACAGTACCACTTCTTTTGTCTTGTTTCTGTTGTGGCATATTTTTAAGAAGTTCTTTTTCATTTCTCCAACGTTGAATACATCTCTCATCCACTTCAAACTCATGAGCTGCTGCTCTATTTCCAATTTGTTCAGCATGTGAAATTACATTAAGCTTAAAACCAGCAGTATAGTTTCTGTGCCGTTTAGATGCCATTTAAAAAAATTTTCCTGCTCTCTTCTTACATAAAAATTATCCAACAAGTACTTGTACCCAAACTTGATGGGAATGTATATCTGGCAGAATGCCAAAAAAAATCGATTCATGCTGAAGGGGAAATACGTCAGAGTTTGTTATTGCGAGGCAGGTGGAGTCGTGTCCTACCTTTGAAAAAAAAATTGCAGAAAAGGCAGGGGTGGAGGAGAGCATGGGTCCTGGAAGATTCATGGAATGGCAGAGGAGAGAGACTATTCAAAACTGATGAAAATGCTGATTTGAAAGGGGGGAAGAATGTTATTGTTCAGAGATCCTGTTTAGGGGTTTAGGGTGAATAAGGCATGTAGGTCTGTTCAAGAAAGAATGTAAACAAAATAACATTCCCCAAAAGCAACTTTTGTATGGGAACAGCACCAGTCCATATACAATGACAAGGCCATCCAAACTATGTACATTGACCATCATAGGAAATATTTTTTTTTACTGCACCTAAATGTGGCATAGGTAGAAATGCAGCACCAGCTGAAAATTTAAGTTTTAAACATGTAAACACCGCGGCGTTTCTTCCGGAAATTACACTAATAAGCTTGATGGGTTGCAAGAAACAGAAAAGTTATCCCTATCCTCAGGGGCAAATAATTATAATCCTATATTATTCTGTGTTTGTAGATATTATATTGCTATTGGTAAAATTAAGTGATCAAATTTCCTTCACTGCATATTTGGATTTCTTTTCACATACTCAATTTTTATTTAATGTGCGAGAGCTCCTGGTGAATTTTTATTTATAATATATATATATAAAAGTTCTAAAATGTTGTGTATCAATTTCTTATTTACTGAAATTAAAGAATTAATATCATTTGCTAAACTTTCTTTAAATCTAATGCATTTGTTTTGAGTATACTTACTATTGCTAAACAAAAGGATTATCCATGATAAAGGCCTCTCAGTTTTCTGTATTTTGCTGATACAATACAAAGTTCGAAATCTGGACTTGTCGAGACTTCGGCAATTCCGGATTTGGATTTTTCCAGGTAATAGGTCATCAGTTTAAATCTAGTAAAACGGCATGTAGAAATTATAAAATTAAAGATATGAAATGGCAATTTATGAAATAATGAAGTATTTATGATCTAAAGGGTATCAAAATTTAGAAAAAAAAAGCTTAATGTTAATTTTTTTACCTTATTTAACATTTCCTTCAATGCAAGTTGTTTTAAGTTGCTTCGTTTATTGTGCTAATACTTTTTCATTGATTTTGTAGACAGACATAATCTCTTTTTTAATAACATTGATGAAGTCCTGTAGCTGCTGTTTCGAGAATTCTGACTAACTTGTCAATTGAAATTTTCAGCAACTTCTCTGTTACTTTCTTCACTATTGTTAGCGGTATTTTCTGGATCTAGAACGATACTACAGATTTCGCCATTCATGATATAAAAACGTCTTTTTTATCATCTTCATTCATTACTGTTTCTCCACATTTCTTTACAAAATTGTTAATTGGAAAATTTCACCTTTGTTTTGCGATGTCCGAAAACCTTTAAAATTAGCGGCTATCATCATCAAATTTAGCTATCCTTCACTATACATATTTGGCTATGCATCATGAGCTTGCCGACTAACAACAAGTTGTTCCGTTAAATTTTATCTCTCTTCTATCGTGCACTGAGACAATTAAGCCTGAATTGTATTAGTTTAGTTATTTATTATACATATGTCTATTTCTTGCACATGCTTAAGGCTTATCAGAGTTCTGAATAAATAAATTCCCAATGGTGTATCTATCTGAATGTTTCTGTTTGAAATGTGTGTCAAGCAGACACGCAGAAATGGAGCCAAATTACTGATCGTACAAATTTATGCTAAAATAATTGTTTCTTCAATAACAAGATATTTTATTTAGTGTTTTATTTACTGTTGAAGTGAAATTAAGAATCGGGACTCTTCAGATGTTTTATTATGCAGGGAGGGGGGGGGATCAAACGCGCATGCATAAATCCGACGGGAAAAACTTTGATGCTGAGGTCCGGATTTTAGATCATTCCGGATATTGGATGTCTGGATTTCAGACTTTGTACTGCATTGTTTATATGCATTATTTCAAGTCCAAATTATTTAATTTGTTTACCTTTTAGTGAAGTTTGCTTGTCGTTGCCTTCATTCTTTTTATTGGCCAAGAAGAAAACACTTAAATAACATTTTAGCAGCTATAAAAATATGTTAATCTTGCTCTTTATTTTAGTCCTGAAATAAAACTTTTTTATTTTCTAAGTAGCATTTAGCAAACCAAATTTTAATATCACAGTTGATTATAAAACTTTTCTGTTTGGCTTTCTCTTCATTGAACTGAATTATTTAAAATGTATCTGTGTATTGCCATAGGTTTTTCTTTCAGTTATAAAGATTTCAAAAGGCTGGTTATTTTACTCTACAAACAATAACAACCATTTTTATTTATGTATTAATGCAACCAGCTTGCTGCAATGTGGTGATTTTTGTTACAAATCCAAAGGTGAAAGTTTCTATTTCTCCTTTTTATTAATTGCACGATTGCTTGACCCAAGTTATTTACTTTCCTATTAATACACTTTTCTGATTTTGCCTTTAAAGTTTTATTATTGATTTTAATTGAGAACTGATTTTTAAGTATCTGTTTTTAATATGATTTATTAAAATAGCTTTGATTTTTACATTAAAAGAAATAGCTCTTACATCAGAAAAGAGTACCTATATATGAACCTTAGTAGAAGGCGCGAAATTTTCAGAATGCCCACCAGCGGCCGAGCGGTAAAGTCGCTGAACACTGGTAGTTCGGTCCGAGGTTCGAATCCCGCAAACGGGCTGACTGCGTGGGTGTTTTCGTAGTTTTCCCCATGTGTAACGTGTATACGAGCCAGTTTCCCTTAGAAAGTCTTCCATGAAGGCATCCCTAAGGCAGATAGCCCTAGTGTGCTTTGCCATAATTAAATACACCACACCAAGGTCCGTACAGTGAAAAGGTTCACACATAAGAGGAAAAACACGTTGAATGGTCAACCACATCGTG